TCAATCTTGTTAAGAAATATTGTGCAATGGTTCAAACTCAATTTATTGAGAAGGTGAAATGTATTTTAAATGAAAATAAGACTGAATTTACATCCTTAGGAGATTATTTTGCTACAAATGGTATCATGTTTGAAACATCTTGTGTTTGGTACCTCTAACAAAATAGGCAAGTCAAACTAAAACATTGACATATACTTAATATAGCTCGTGCTCTCCAGTTTCAAGCTAACTTGTCTATTGAGTTTTGGGGTGAATGTATTCTTACTTATGGTTATCTTATTAATTTTACTCCTACTTTAGTTCTCCAAGGCAAAACCCCATACCACATCATTTTTGGTCACAACCCCAAACATGATCACATTAAAATCTTTGGGTGCCTCTGCTTTGCTTCCAAGATTCCTTATGATCGCAACAAGTTTGTTGTTCAAAGTCGAAAGTGCATTTTTATTGTGTACCCTCATGAAAAAAAGATGAAGATTATATGATATTGATACTAGGGAATTTTTTAAATCTCAGGGTGTTGTGTTTTATGAGAATCACTTTTTCTATAGTCATCCTTCTGCTTATATTTCCACCTCTACCAATTTTACTCATCCTGACATATACTTAATTAATGCAGCTCATGCTCTCTAGTTTCAAGCTAACTTGCCTATGGAGTTTTGGGTGAATGTATTTTATGATTGATTATCTGATTAATTATACTCCTACTTTGATTTTCCAAGGCAAAACCCTATACAACATCATTCTTTGTTACAACCCCAACTTTATGATCACATTAAAATCTTTAAGTGCCTTTGCTTTACTTCCAAGATTCCTCGTGATAGCAACACGTTTTTTTTGTCAAAAGTGCATTTTTATTGGGTACCCTCATGGAAAAAAATGATGGAGATTATATGATATTGATACTAAAGAATTTTTTAATTCTCGAGATGTTGTGTTCTGTGAGAATCACTTTCCTTATAGTCATCCTCCTATTTCTATTTCTACCTCTACCAATTTTGTTCATCTTGCCATTTATGACGTGGATTGTGTTACCCCTACTTCATCATTGTACTTCACACCTTTGTCATCTATCTCACCAATTGTGATGCCTTCTGTTAAAATTGTTGAGCCAACACATAATATGACTTTATCATCTAGTGGGACTGACGGGTTAGCTACTAGGTCTTTGGAAGTAAGGGGAAGTGATTCTACAGAGTTGGAAGTGAATGCTACTACTTCTCCTAATGATTTGATTATTGTCGGGAATGATTTTGCAGTAATTACTAATGTCAAAGCTTATCTTAGCACTTATTTTCACATGAAAGATTTGGGAGTTTTGAATTATTTTCTTGGTATCGAGATTGCACGTAGACTTGATGGTTTATTTCTTTCTCATTGTAAATATGCATTTCATATCATTTCTGAAGTTGGTATGCTTGGTTCAATATTTGTGAGTTTCCCACGGAACAAAATCAACAATTAACCCTTGCTATAGGTCTCAATTTTGCTCATTCGGATTGTTACAGATGACTAGTTGGTTGCTTGATTTACCTCACCATCACAAGTCTGAAACTCTACTATGTTGTTCACATTCTAGCCTAGCTTATGCAAAGTCCCAAAGAAGCCCATTAGAATGCTTCTCTATGGGTTCTTAATTATTTAAAAGGCAATCTTGGGCGAGGTCTTTTGCTTTCTAAAAATAGTGCTCTACTTCTTATTACTTACTGTGATTCAGATTTGGCCACTTGTTCTTAAATTTGTCTTTCTCTTAGCGACTACTTTATTAAGTTGGGTGTTTCCCCCTGTTTCTTGGAAGACTAAGAAGCAATTGACCATTTCTCAATCCTATGTTGAGGTTGAATACTACTCTATGGGCACTACTAGTTGTGAGCTCACCCATGTGTCTACTTTTTGATGGTCAAACAACTCTCCACATTGTTGCGAATCCTGTTTTTCATGAACGCATAAAATATATTGAGATTGATTGTCATTTTGTTCGAGATTAGATTCGAGCGAGCAATATTGCTACCTTTCATGTTCGTACCAACCTACAATTAGCAAATATTCTTACCAAGGCCCTCAAGAAGCAACAATTTCAGTTCTTTCTTTGCAAGTTGGACATTCAGAATCTTTATGCTCCAATTTGAGGGAGAGTATTGAGATAACAACTCTATCTTAGGAACATATTATTTGTATCTCAATCATATATTCATGTAATTAGGAATAGCATGTTTAGCTCTTATAATATCTCTAGTAAATATTTAAAATATCGGCTACAAAATTAGTTTTAGATCTTTAGGCAGAATATTATGCATATAATTTTTTTTTATTATTATCAATTGAATGAGACACAATTTGGTTTCATATTCATACTTTAGAGTCTGATTTTGTTGCTTCATTTGTGTGATTTGTTTGTGCTTAAATGATTTTGTTGCTTCTTTTGTGTGATTTGTTTGTGCTCAAATAAGCTTGTTGCCTTAAATAATCTGGTGCTTGAAAATGCTTCAATTCAAATTGCTTGCTCGTGCTGTTTTAATGCGCTTAAACATTTTGCCGTTGACAGATTTCACTTGTGGAGATGCTCAACAGATTTTTGTTTTAAGTACAAATCATTTCCCCAATAGTTTAGGGTTGAAGTACCCGTTTAGGTACCTTTTCCTCATTAGTACTTGATTTTGAACTTTGAAACTTCTATGTATATTTTGATCATATGTCACCAAAATTAATTATAAAATTAAGTTGAAGGGCAAAAACAACAATAAGTTGTTTCAGCCTTTCAATTTACTTTACCATGATATTGACGTTATAATTGATTATAAGAAATATCCAAAGTTGCCATTCATTTTCTGTAGCTTTCCAATCCATCACGGTTTGTTTAAAAAGAATCAAATTTATATTTACTTAAACAAATCATTTATTGACATAAGACAGGGTTAGATGGAGATAAGGAATTTCTTTCAATCTTCTTGAAGTACATACTCGTTTGCTTTAAATATAACACTCGTGTATTCTTTTCCTCCTGGTTTAGACATTTTTTGAGTTAAAAATAATAAAAAAGAAGTTACCAAATGAAGAAAGTTAACTACAAAGGAGTAAATACCGTAAAAATGTGAAAAAAAAAGGGAGAAAGTTAATAACAAACGAGTATATGTTGTAGAAATACTAAATAGGAAACATCATTACACTTACCTCATCATCTTATTAATGGAAGTTGTAATTTTGTTGATAATTAATCTGTATTCCAAATTTGATTGAAAAATTCTCTTCTCCTAATGAGCTTTTTACTTATATGCATGGATTAAATATTAATGTACTTTTTTGAAACACTTCAAATATATTTTTTATTAATTAAATTTATTAAAAACTAATAAATTTGCTAAATTACTATTTTGGTTACTCATTTTATTTAATTTATTAAATTTGGTCTCCTTTTGTTAAAAGGTTGAATTTAGTTTTTTTAATTTTTTTAAATAATATAATGTGATTCTTTTCATTTGATTGTAACTAACGACATTAACAATGGATTTGTTTGCGACGAGAGAAAACAAAAAAAAAAAAAAGAGAAATAAGTAAATGAAAATAGATAGAAAATAAAATAGAATTTAGGTTGTTTAATTTAAGAAAAATATGTAAAAGATAATATTATCTATGTTGATAAGGTGAAAAAAAAAATAAGTGAGAAATAAGATATATAAAAAGAGAGAAGAAATAAACAAATAAAAATGAAAAAATAGAGTAAAAATAAGTAAAAAATAAAAATAAAAATAAAAAGTGAGAAATAAAGTATATAAAAATAGAAACGAGAAAATAAATAAGAAAATTAAGAAAGGAATTAAAAATATTTTAATTTTTTAATAATTATTTTTATTTTAATTAAATAAATTAAAATTTTAATCAAGTGTAATAAAATTATAAGCAAATGTATTCCTGGCTTATTCGAATGTGGACTCATAACAAAAAGAAATAACACTTAGTGAAAAATGACTATTTTAATCGATGAAATACCTTACTTATTTGAATACATTTTTTGTAGAACAAATTTTTTTACTCATTTAAACTTGAAATAAAAAGGTGTGAGACTTATAGTTATAAATATGTGGGTAAATGCTATTTAGAAAGACATGATAGTACGAAAAATTATTATTATTATTATTATCTAGACATTATTATTTATTATTATTATTTTTGTCTTTGACTCTTTTTAAATTTAAATGTATAAAAAAAAAAATCTTGAACTCTTGTCATATGTAAAAAATCTACAAAATTCTACCAAGCTCACAAAGTCTCGTAGAATCCATCAAAATTCTGATTGAAAGTCTTGCGAAATCTTACAATATTTTAAAAATCATAAAAATCCTGGAAAGTTCTTTAAAATTTTAATCCCCTACGCCCCCTTACATTTTTTTATTTTTTATTTCCCTCATTTCTTACATGTCAAATTCTCATACTTATTTCTCATTTTGACTTTCTTCCTCTCATTTCTATCCTATTTTAGACTATCAAACAGTGTTACGTAGTCCCAAGGTACTATACTTCACTAATTTGCATTACAGTAACGGAATGAGGCAAGAACAAAAAGGCAGCGCAGTAAAAGCAGTAGTACCAAACTGAGCAGAAATAATAACACCAACGACAAGACAAAAGGAACAACAATTTCAACTGCTGTAGTGTATCGCAGGAGCAAAAAGCGGGAAAAACTCTGTTGGTTTTAATGAACCCAGACAAAGATATCTTACCCAGCACGTGCAATGTAGAGAGTGAATTTTGTCTTTTTACAACAAAGTTTTCTATGCATGTATGGATAGAGATTGGAACATCTGTAAATATGAGAGATTAATTTTTTTTTCGAGACTTAAAAATTATTATAGTTAATTTTGTTTCTTGTAACAATTTCTTTATATATATGTATGTATGGCTAGAGAATCAAACTTACTTAAAGAATTTAACTATTTATGGAGTATGTTGTACATTGATGATTAAAACTAGAGATTTGTAGTGGACTTTTGAGACCCCTTTCATACACTCTTAGTCTTATCCTGATTTTCTGTCACCACATGGTCCCTCCTTCCCTCTGTCCCCTTTTTCCAATATCTCTTTCTATGACAGACAAAGTCGTTCAATTATATCTCTTATGATTTCCCTGCACTTTCGCTGACATTCATCTCTCTTCATTCTATTAACTACCCTGTCTTCTTCTCTCTCTTGATTCACAATTTGAATTGAATTCATACAGTATATAGGCCTTCCTCATGGCGTGAAATTGGGGAGTCATGGTAGGTGCCTAACCCTCAGACTCTTTGAGTTTTGTGTGTAAAGGAATAGAATAATAGATAGCCATAGGTTAGCCTTTAGAAAAAATAATTTTTTTGCCTTTAGAAAAAATATTTTTTTTCTTTTTATTTCCATCTTTTCTATCTTTGACCAGTGACCCCTTTGATGTGTAAATGTTAAAATCGAGGTAGATGGGAGTGGAAAGTGAATTCTAAGCAAAGCACTCTGTCGTAACTACTTTTCTGTTTTCTTTGCAAGTTACTTCTTAAGGTTAAACACCTGGCTCTCATATTCTTCTTTATAATTCTGGGTTTTGCTTAAAGAACAATTTGCCACCCTTCCCTTCTTCCTCTTATTCCTTCCACTGACAGCCCCAGATCCAACTCTGTTCAGGCTAAAGGGTTTTGGGAAATGGTGTTCATGGTGTTGTGTGAGGGAATAAGAAGGTGCAGCTTTGGCTAAATTGTGGATGGACAGGAGGAGTTGGCTATGGCGCAGGAAGTCTTCTGAGCAAAGTCCAGGTGAAACTGAGAGTTCTGGTTCAATGTCATCTCATTTAGAAAGATTCTCTGATGATCAGGTACTAGCACCTTTTTAGTTGCATACATTCTTAAATTGTGTTTTGCATGTTATATTTGTTTCCATCTACCTAAATAGTATCTCTCTTTGTGTATTTGTGGTGTACTGAGTTCTCAGGATAGTAGCCATTTTTGGAAGTGAGTGTTGTAATCTTTATTGAGGGAGATAAAAATAGGGAAGTTAAAATGAAATTGAGGAATTCTTGACCAAGAATGTAACCTTGTCCAAACCAAGCTAATTTTTCAATTTCTACTAGTCTGTTGCTTCAGATGATTTGAAGTTTCTAGGAAGGCTTAAAATTGTTTGGTCTGCAAATTTCACATGAATATAAGTTTCTAAAGCTTACAGACCATTGATTCTGTCTTCTTCTTTTTTTTTAAGTATGAGATATCTGTTTGTTCGAATTATTAAGTCCGGGGATGGACTTGATGAATATGATGTTCTTACTATGCTGTAAAGGTATACCCTACCGAAACTACTCCATCTCCAGAAGTCACGTGTGAGGCTGCACCAAATGATGAAGAAGCTACTGATGTGAAGACTCTAACAGAAAAGTTATCTATTGCTCTCTTAAACTCTAGTGCAAAAGAAGAATTGGTAAAGCAGCATGCTAAGGTTGCCGAAGAAGCTGTCTCAGGTATATATGTTGTTTGACTATCTTGCATACCAATAACTTTTGATTTGACAAACAAATTTATCTAAACAAGAAATCTATTGAGGCATTGAGTAGTTGCAATCGATTGTGTTTGCTCAAGTGCCGGTCTTGTTATGGTTTATGAAAAATGGATATCTAAAATTATCCTAACATGGTAAAGGGAAATACAAAAAATGTGCTTGATCTAATTGTCCATGATTCATATCTAGGGAATCCATGACTTATGCTCTAGGGGGACTATTGGGAAGTTTAATTCAAATTGTTTGAATGACATGTTTTCTTTTAGACTAAGAAACTTCATTAATTAATGAACTAAGCTACTTTTATATGTTTTTTAATTAGGCTGGGAGAAGGCTGAAAATGAAGTGTTGATTTTAAAACAACAACTTGCCGCTTCAAAACAGAAAAACTCAGTTCTTGAAAACCAAGTTAGTCATCTTAATGGGGCACTCAAGGAATGTATGAGGGAGCTTCGACAAGCTAAAGAAGAACAAGATCAAAATATTCATGAAGCTGTTGTTGGTAACTCTTGTGGTGTATCAGCTCGTTCCGATCTTCACCAGAGGCTTGAAGATTTGGAGAAAGAGAATTCCAATCTTAAAATTGAGCTACAATCTCGACTCGAGGAACTAGAATTGAGAACCATTGAGAGGGATTTGAGTACTCAAGCTGCTGAAACAGCAAGCAAGCAACATTTGGAGAGTATAAAAAAGGTGACTAAGCTTGAATCCGAGTGCCGTAGACTGAAAGCTATGACTCGCAAAACATTCTCTGCTAATGATCATAGGTCTTTGACTGCTTCTTCAGTTTATGTAGAGTCTTTTACTGATAGCATGTCAGATATTGGAGAGAGGCAACTGGTAGTTGAAAGTGATATGCGGAAATTAGGAGGCTGGGATGAGAATGAAAGCGAGCCAAGCCACTATGACTCATGGTCATCAACTTTAATCTCAGAACTTGATCAAGTTAAGAGTGAAAACACTGCTGAAAAAAACTCTATAGTCTTTTCAACTGAGATCAATCTGATGGATGATTTTCTTGAAATGGAAAGGCTTGCTGCATTGCCAGATACCGAAAGTGTAAGCGGTTTTCCTGTGGTAGGTACTGCATCTGACCAACTTAATGTTGGCCATGGCACAAGGAATGCTGAAGTGGAAGCTATGGTTCAAAAGAATGCTGCATTGGAAAAGAAACTAGAGAAAATGGAGGCTGATAAACATGAGCTAGAGATGGATCTAACCAAGTGCCAAAAGCAGCTTGAAGCATCACTGAGTAGGGTGACGGAAATGGAGTTGGAGGTAGCAGAGCTTCAAACTAAGTTAGTTCTTGCAAACAAATCAAATGAAGAAGTATTTGAAGAACTCAAAGCAACTCATAAAAAGAAAGAGATAGCTGAGTCAAAACTCAGAGTTGCTCAAACTGAAGCTGAAGAATTGGTTTCAAAAATTTACTCATTAGAGGAAGAGATCGAGAAAGAGCGAGCTTTCTCTGCTGAGAATTTGGCCAGGTGTGGGAAGTTGGAGGATGAGCTCTTGAGAATGAACCATGAAACTCAACTCCAGCAAAACACTGAGATTATGCCCGGAGAAAGTGTTAATAGTGAGATGAAGCAGGTCAGTTTTGCAACACACAATGGGAACTCCATAATTTAAGCCTTCTCTAATGTATTCTATATTGCTTACCTTGACTGGCTAATAATCTCTATCTTTTTCTATGATGAATATTGTCAAGTGCATGATGCTTAAAGCTCAATTTTAGTTTAAATATTAACACGTGTGGGAGGCTCAAATTACAGGTTTTTCGGAATTGTATTTATAGTTTGTTTAGATAAAGGCTTAAAAGAGTTTCAGAAAGTTGCTCTGATGAAAAAAAAAATCTCTTTCCGATAAAAAAAACTTTCAAAAAACTATTTTAAACTTATGTCCAAACACATTCTTAATGATTAATAGTGTTCGATTTTACATTCGAAATGTTTAAACTTCAGTTTGACTCAGCAACAAAACACAAGCTTTTCAGCTGAAGTGTCATGTTGTGATAGCTACAAACCAAACACAAACTAAGTTGCTAAATACAAGTGAAGCTTAATATTTTGCATTAACAATATTATACTCGAGTTTTTCATAAAAAAAGCTTGACAAGTTTCAATGCAGGAGAAGGAACTAGCATTGGCTGCTAATAAATTTGCTGAGTGCCGGAAAACCATCGAGTCTCTAGGACTGCAGTTGAAGTCCCTTGCAACATTGGAAGACTTAATACATGATTCAGAGAGCCCTGTGGAGTTAACTTGTGAAGTTACACCAGGCTCCCAAAATGGTGGTGTGCAGCTGAAGAAGTTACATAGTGATGATTTGAGTTTGTCCAAAGGAGATTCTGAATCATCATCAGTTACACTAAATCCATCTATTACCCATGAAAAAGCCCGAAATAGTTTTGGTAGGTTCAACCCACGAAGCAAGAGTGTAAGCAGAACAAGAGGCCACTAAAAGATAGATAAGGTGGAGAAATAAATAACTTTGTAAACGTGGTTTATAATTATTTAACGTGTATAAATCCAAACTTTCTTATCTATACTATATACATAAATCTGGAACAATTTCAAATCTAGTAAATATCACATCAATCTACAGTAATATTTATAAAAATAGATTATCACAATAAAGATATATAAGTCCAGTGGAGTGTGATAACTTTTTGAAAGACTGATTGATAGTACTTTTACAAATTATTTATTAATAAAGGGATTTTTGAAATATATTACTAAACTGATGCACTTAATGGTGGAAAATCATGCCATTTTTCCTATTTTTTTAATTTAATGTAAATCTTACAGTGACAGTAATGTTTTAGAACGCACTACTGAGATTCATACGGTGAGCATGGAATGTTAATGCTAATAGTGAATAGCAGTTTTTGTTTAATTTAAGTTTAAAAGTTGTTTAAAACATTTTTTGCTTCATTTTATTTTATCTTAGAAAAGCTGCTGAGAATACATGTGTGTGGATGTTTAAAAAATTAATTTAATTTTTTTCTTTACATATTTTTTTATGTAAAATGAAAGAACAACATTAAGTACACTTCTTATCCTTGTAGTCATTGAATAAATAACATTGAAGTATTTTCAATATTAAATTTCAGCATTAAATTGTTCATTGAATATCTTTTAACACGGGCGTCATATTTCAAACTTACTAATTTAATGCCTGATTTTTTGGTTATAGAGATATGTTTATTTTTTTTAAAAGATATGTACTGATTTGGTCAAAGTTATAAAGAGTAAAAACAGATATAAAATTTGAAAAATATATAAAATTTTCAAATTAGATGAGTAAAATAATAAAAAGAAAATGATATCTCTAAGACTATTGGACACTGATATGAAACTAATAACATGTAAGAAAATTTTAAATTAAACATTATTATTTACTTAGTAATTAATTGAAAATTAATAATACTCCATTCGAAACAATTAACTTTACTTGCCTTGTCAAAATATGAGATTAAGGAAGATACAAATCAGAAATAGAATTTTGTAAGTACAATATTGTGCCGCAACAACAGTTCTCGATGCGGCACAAACTTAAATTTGCTGGCATCAAGTTTTGTAGTAATAGTAATATTATTTAATACATAAGTATTCTCTAAATTTTTTAATTAAATTTTCAAACTAAAAGGTTGTAAATAGATTTTTAAAATATATATCACAAATTATTATTTTCCAGTGATTTCAAGCCATAATAAACTAACTTTACTAAATTATAAAATTTTTAATAAATAAATTAAATATATCATTATAATTTTTTGGTTAAGAAGTTTAATTAAAATTTTTCAAAAAAATTCATGATCACTCTAATGTATTAAATCATACTAGTACATGAAATCCACCAACAGAAATGAAAAGGAAAAGGAAAAGATGCGACAAGACTAATTAGCTTCAAACGACATGCTATTGCTACTATTCTTCCTTCTCAGCAGATCATAGTAAACTTTGGGTTTTCTGTACTCTGACATGCATATACCCTGATATCAAAATAATACCACATTATGATCACGATTACACAAATTAAAAGTAAAAATAATAATAAAAAAAAAAACAGAAAATATTGTTTGAAACCAAACTAACCTGCATTGCAAATGCCAAATGGATCAGTGTAGCTTCAGACCAAGGCCTTCCAATAAACTGAAGCCCAATAGGCAAACCCAATCTATCGAATCCAACCTATTAGGTACAAAACACACACATAGATAGCATTAGCATACAAGTAGCATCTAAAATTCTCATAAAATAACATATGATGTAACTAACTTAAAGAAAAAAAATATAGAGTCCTTTTTTTAAAGTTAAAAAAAAAATTTTAAATAAATACTTTTAAAAAAATAATTATTTAAGAAGTAGATAGAAATTGTTTCTTTAAAAAGCAGAAAATTGTTTATTCTAAAAGAAAATTAAACAAACACATTAATTATTTTATTTAAAAAAACACTTTTGTAAGAAAAGAACTTAAACAATTAGAGCCACAATGTTATTAACACTCTCTTTAGAGTTAAAAAATAATGAGTCTTGCTTGATTTAGTGTTGGGACACATTAAATGTTGTGATTCTCAAAAAATTTCAACAAACAATAAAGAGTGTGAAAGAAGTATTGCTAATATTTTCCAAAGAAAAATATATACCGGAACAGTAACAGCTGGAAGTCCCAGAAAGTTTCCTGCTATGGAGTAACGAACAAGTGCAGCTGAAAATGGTGGCAAAATATTCAGATTTTGCTAGGCATGTCGGTGCTTGCTATTATTAATGCTACCAAAAACTTCAAAATAACTTAAAATATATATTAGTATTTACACATAAATTCTTTAATGGTATGTTTGGATGAGGAATTTTACAAATTCAAGAAATTTTAAATTCTTGGTATTTGAATTACTTTGATTTCAATTTCTATCATTCTTAAAATATTTTGTTTGGATAAGTCAATTTAAATTTCTCAAATTTTAAATTGTTGGGTTGGATATGATAATTTGATTCCACCATGGTAAAATTGATTTTAAAAATATATTTATATGTTGATTTTTTTAAATTAAATTTTATAAAAATAAATATTAGCTAATTTTTAAATATTTATAATAATTTTTAAAATTAATATTAGATAATATTTAATAATTTTAAAAATATTTTTGAATATTCAATAATTAAAAACTTGAAGAAATAAGAGATAAGATAAAATATATAAGTGAAATAAGAAAAAAAAATATGAAGAATTTCAAATTCTTACTTTTTTGGGAGAATTTGAAATTCTACTATTTCAAGGAATTTCACAAATGCTTGAATTTCAAATTCCTTATAAATTCTTCGTCCAAGGTATTTCACCTCAAAGAATTTGAAATTATTTAAATAAATGAATTACTCCATTTAAATTCTCCATCCAAACACACTATTAATGTTCCTAATCAAATGAATTTCATCTATACTATACCTCCATTCACGTAGTCAAGTTCACCAGTCTTCAGGGCATCATCTTGAATGGGATATGCAGTCACACTGTTGAAATTCATAAATATCATAAATGTGTTACCGAAGTGTAAAGCTAGTTAGTACTCATCAAAAGAAACCGTTGTGTGAAGTTTGAGAAAACAGGACAAACCCTGTCGTTGGTGAGACAATGACATCTGCCTCAACAAATATTTTCTTGTGAAATTGCAATTGGCGATTCCTGTTCATTTTTCAACAAAATGTCATTAAAAAAACACTACTATTAGTACTATAGGAAAAAGATTCCACAAATTCCTATTATCTCCAAAACCAGTTCTATTAGTAAACTTTCTCACAACACTTTTGGGAGATGCTACATTGCTACCCAAGTTGACCAAGTAGTAGTAGTGTGTCAAATGTGTCAATTTATGATGCACATGCTAGAGAGATAACAATTTGATTACATAAACAATATTGAGTACAGAGAGGAATCATGTCTACAATTAACAAGATCAAGATGTTGTGTTTGCTGAGTACATTGTGGCTTTACTCTAACAAGTTAACTTTTATTACCATAATTTATTGGCCTCATTTTTTCACATCTTACCTAATTCTTTGAGCTTTAAGATACTCCAAGCCGCTAAAAGCACCATAGATGCTTTGTGCTACCCTTACGTCCCATCCTAATTCTGCAAAATTCCTTTGGTAATAATTTGGTGATGTCAGCAACCGTACTCCTCAATCTAGAGGGCAATAAGGAGCAAAGAGTTTATAAGATGGCATACTTTTCTTTAAAAGAATCAAGCGCAGTGGAACACTCAGATCCTATTGTTGTATAATGTGCCAGCCGCATTGCTTCTATCTCTGGTATGGTCACATCTACGATCTTGTGTTAATAAAATAAGAAAATGAAAACAAAAAAAGTTAGCAAGCTAGCAAGTTGTTTTGTGCTGTTTTTCAATGATGGGTTTGGTAATTTTATTTGAGGTGCTTGGATGATTTTCTTTCTTTAGTAGTCACCATTTATTAGCATTTTTATATTTTGCAGTACCTTCCAATTGTATTGATCCTGAAGCTTGTTCAAAGTTTTGGTACAGCATATTCTGACATCATCACTGCAATCATCAAACCACTAATTGAAGGAAGTAGTGGTTAAACAACATGATGTTAGAACAACCTATTTTTTCAATATTGAGGAAGATAACGCTATATTTATAGCTGACAACACGTGTCTAACCTTCCCGTATTTTGCTAACTTGATGCCAGATATGGACTTTGTCAAGCTCAGCCGTGGAAGATTTATCTTGGTCTAAAGTATTGCACATTAACATTACAAATTCTAAGACATTATCACTATAACATTAGAAATTCAAAGATACTAGATAAAAGGTTAAACTTGGTATGTAAAACTTTAACGTGTAAATCTAATCATATTGATATTTGAAACATGAGAAGGCTGATCAACGATCAGATCCATTAATTTGAAAACAAGATCTTACCAGTACACTGAAGGTATGAAAATATGGAATTTCTCCACTGATAGCTGCATAACTGTAAACAGTGAAAAAGTAAATGCTGTAAAACCTATCTTAAAACTTCCTTGAAGAAAGAATATCATTGCAAAGAGTACTAACGCAATCAATGCATCCTCCACAGTGCCTGCTAGTATTCCAACCATCCCAACTGTCCAGTTTAGGGGAAGAACTCTGGATGTAGTAGAAGAATGAAGATCATTCTCCTAAGTCATTACAACCTCCAAGTATTTAAACATGTTTAAACAAAAAGGAATACCTACCCATCATGAGGTATACGTTCAAAAGTTGGTTTTAGACCAACAACACCACAAAGAGCTGCTGGCATTCTTACAGATCCTGAATAGATGAGCAAACATCATAGTAATTCACCAACTTTTCTATTGTGTTTACTCTTAGTATTCATGCACTACTGAAATAGATTTACCTAGAAAATTCATATACATGTTCAATGCAACTAAGCAATAATGAATGCTGATTTGTCTGGTCTTTCATGTACAGATATAAATCAAATACCTCCCCCATCAACACCAAGGGCAACAGGACACAGTCCAGCAGACACCAGAGAAGCAGATCCACTAGAAGAGCCTCCTGCAATCTTATTTGTATCATACGGGTTTCTAGCTGGCCTACAAATAAATAAACAATTTTCCCTTGTCACCAACTAGTTCAATGTACATTCATTGATACTTAATTCTGAAGACAGTATACCAAAGATGTAACATAATATGTATTATAACAAATGATGCTCTTACCCATAATGTGGATTTATTCCACTGGTTCCAGACCCAAGTTCATGCATATTGGTTTTCCCAACAAGTATGGCGCCGCATAATCTTAGACGCTTAACGCAGCAGGCGTCATCTTGACAAGGCCTTTCTTTGTGCAGCCATGTTGTACCTCCTTGAGGACAGCATTTTTAGAAGCTTAAGTGAATCATGAAATCAGCAGCTTAATCATTTGAATAGAAGACACCTCGGAGAGAAGAGTGACACTTTACACTACCTGTTGTTGGATATGGCAAACAATCTATCTCATCCTTGATAGCAACAGGAACTCCATCTAGCACGGAGATAGGTTCCCCTGCAAAATAGTATTGCATCAAATGAGTATCTGAACATAATTTAGGATAAACCATAAAGAATAAGTGTCACAGTTATTAGATTTCTTTACTACTTCAATTGTTAAATTATTATTTCCTGGCCTCCAATATTAGAATATAGTATTCACGAGATTTGTACCATTAGCAGGGGTGTAAGCAGAAGTGGGGCAGGGAAAAGGTAAGTACTAAGTAGCATTCATCTTACTTCTGGATGCAGAAAGCATGAGTATTCATAATTATATATTTCAATAATAACCACCCTATCATATGAAATCATTTAAAGACCGAAGAAAGTCTTTGTTAGGATACAAATAAGATTTCACATCAATAAAACAAGAGAAGAAATAATAATTTATAAAACATAGACATACTCCAATAACTATGTAATTTTTTGGGTGATAACCAAAAATAAAATCGAGAGCTTAGATTCGAAGCAGACAAAATCTCACTATTATGGACTTGTGTGTGAAATAATCCTATATAAAAATAACCAAGTTATAATCCTATCGTTGTGGAGTTGTGTCAAGTTATAATCCTACCATTGTGGAGTTGTGTGTGAAATAACCCTCTCTTCTTTGAATTCGTTGACCAACAAGGAAAAAAAAGGTACACATATTCCAATGATATAAATAAAAGTAAAACCGTGAAAACTTAGATCCAAAGCGGACAATATCTCACCATTGTGAAATTATGTATAAAATAACCTTATAAAAATAACAAGTTATAACTCTCTTCTCTAGATATAAATATCCCTTCAAACAAGTAAAAAAATGCCCCCAACAGTCTTCTGATATTGAATTGAAACTTGAGTTGCTGTGAATTACCTCTTTGATAACGAAGAGTTGATTCAGTTGCTTGCCTTAGTATATCATCAGCACTATAGTGAATAAAGAATCCCATTTGGAGTGCGGGTTTTGTGGATTCATCAATAGCAGCAATAAATCGTTCTGCAACCTGTGAACATGGAAGTTAATGAACGGATTAGTACACCAAAATTCATAAGTCAAAACCATTAGAAATGTAAAGGACTTGAGTGAACTTCATGCATGCAAAGTGTTGATTGAGTGAACACAGTAATGACATGATGGCAACAAGACAAAAGAATATTAAAAGATGAAAATACCATGATTGGTGTTATGTCTCCTGAGCAGTAAGCTTTAGCATAATCCATTATTGTCCAGCGACAGAATGGAGAATTGGTTCCATCATCAAGTGTTTCTTCTGAAGTTTTAGGCAAGCAATCTAGTGCAAGATGAACTTTTTCCGGTGGAGATAAAGAAGAATCTAAGCATTTGACTTCTTTTTCTTCAATGTCTGAAAGAATAAACAGAAATCATGATCCACTTTCTCTTAAGGCAACCAAGGCCAAAATTTTGCAATCAAATTTCAAGTCCATATGCTCTCTCAAACCTTCAAAATCATGCAAGGGAACAAAGAGAGGCGATTCCTCGAACTCTGCATTTGTGATAAGCTGTGGAAAATGGAAATAAAAGAAAAACACTTTCTTACAGATGTTCTAGAGAATATATATATATAATATAAATTAGACTCAAAAGTTTAAAAAGAGGGTATGGAATTCAATCTTTACTGGAACAGAACTTCATGAAATGGAATATCATGGAGACATGGAACAGGATCATACCCGGTGAATAAGATTGTTTCCCTTCAATATGAACAGTAGCAAGGTTCCAAGTATTGGAAACTCCAACAAAAAGGTGAAAATCTTGACCAAAAGACCAGTCATGCGTGGAGCTGTGATGGAAAAGACATCAGCATTTTGTGGATGTGCATGACTTTCATCCATCATGATTAAGACTTCATATCAAAAACTCAACTTAAGAAATCAAGGACATTAAAAGCTCAAAAAAAGAAATATATGTCATTGTTAAAACTTAAAAGTCAAAACGCATCACATGCAGACCGGTTCTAAACATCTGATACAGTGATACTCTACTCTCAAAAGAATAAGACATCAAGAAGCTAGAAAAGAAAGAAAAAAAAAGACAATGCATGGTGAACCTTTGACATTGGCTTGGAGGTAGAATTCAGTGCTATAGGGGCCTAAGTCCACATCCTTGACGGGGGTGTAAACCACACCCTTTCGTTTCAAGAACTCCATTAGCAAAGAAAGAGTGATATTTGGTGTTGGACAGAAAGAAAAGAGAGAGTAAGATGTCAGAAGAATAGCAGTTGGTAACTAATTATAGGAAAACTTTGGCGGAGATTGCTAGAGGAATGAGATAGTAGTTCAATGTGCTTTTAACCATGCATTCTTAACTGTCACGTTGATGGATAGAATCTGGTATGAAAACTAGTAACCCAAGTGGTTTGCGTGAAAATGGTAGAATTAATGATAGTAAAAGTGTAAAACACCCCCTCATGACAATTTTGGTTTCCCTTTGAGAATTGGTATGAAAAACTCAACTACTTTTGCATGAAAAGCACACTTTGGAAAATTTCCACCTGAATTATACGGAAATACCAATCTAACCCCTTTTTTCCTTATTTACACATTACAAGGTCAGATTGACTTCCACAGCTAGAATTTTCATGGGCTAATTCTACTCTTGGTTCTCTACTTCAATTTAGTAATTTTATTATTTTTGAGAATTTTATCCTTCCATTATTTTAATTGTATATAACAGAAACACTATCCCGACAATACACAAGTGTACCACATCATGAATGTGTTGAAGAATTGAAATGACAGTGTAAAAAAGTGACGTGTCAGCAATTATTAAATTCGTGAAAAAGAATTAAGAAAAATTTTACCAATCAAGAAGGTCCAAATATAATTAAACTAATTTGTTTTTAAGCCTAGCTGCACTTTTGTCCGGTATTTCATGAATTTTTTCACCAAATTTTTAAGTTGTACATTTTTACTTAATTTTCATAATTTTACATTTTTTTAGAACATCCACATATTTTAAATTTCAACAATTATATTTTAACTTTTTTTCACATCAAAGAGAATATAGGTGTCACATGGTTATTAGGATGAGAAAAGGTTAGGTCAAATGAGACTTTGAATATATAGATTATGTTTATTTTACAAAATCAAAATTTAGGCCTAACATATTATTTATTATAGACTTTTTTTTATAGGCATAGTCTGATCTTTTTAAAATCTGACCTGACCTATTAACATATTTAAAAATATATTTTATATTAATAATGTTAATTAGATCAATAAATTTTAATTTTTTAAAAATTAACAAATTTATTTTTAAATATGTCATTACAAATTATTTTTTATTTTACGTAATAAAATATACTTTACTCAATATTATTAAAATTTTAAAATTTAAATATATACAATGTTCCAAAGAGGGGAAAAAATGAATCATTTTATATTAAAGAAACAATTTGTGTGTACCACATATGTTGGTATACACTCACACATATGTCATAAGTCTATAAGTCTATAATAAAAAAAATCATATAAAAAATATTTAAAATATTTTCTATTTTTAATTTGGTATATTCTAAATAACTTACTCATATTTTAATAAATTAAATAATTATGATAATAATTTATAAATTGAAAAAATACTTATTTTATATGAGATGATTTCAGAGTGTCGAGTATATATACAATGTCACAAAGAGAGAATAAATGACATTATTTTGTGTTAAAGGACAACTTATATACATGTACACTCATGCACGTGTTATGATGAAAGAGGTTAATTTTATTAAAAAAAACAATTATTTAAATTATCTCATTTGACATACTTTCAATAATCAATTCTTATTTTTAAAAATTAAAATAGCTATGATAATACTCATTCAAATTAATGGTTTAACTATAGAATAATTTAGTAATTTAAAAAAATGTCAATTATTTAATATAGTCAGTTTAATACTAATATAATTATTTATTTATTAATATTATTAATAATATATAAATATTAATTTTATATTATATTATATAATTAAATAGGTTAGTCTATCAGGTCTAATAATTTTTTTTTATAAACTTAAGCTTAATATTTTTAAATAAATAATTTTTTTTAAAAATCTAAACATGATATTTTTATTAAAGATGTCAGATCATGTTAGACTTTAAAAAGGCTAAACCATTAACTTCTATTTAAGGTTGGCCTATTTCCATTGTTAGCAGTTATTTATAATAAAAAGTTATTTCAATCTTGGTAAACATAAAAACAAAAATTATAAAGATGTGAAATCTTTTGAGTTGCTTAAAATTTTACTATTAGAATAAAAGTGTAGTGAGTTATTTTTTTTTTAGGTTCGTTCCTGGAGTATCCAGGGCCGACAGCAGTGACTAATCTCCTCGCTACGTTGGAGACACCTCAAAGGGTGGGATAGTTGGCCCCAAGATTTAACGCGGCTGCATACACAAGGCAGGATTCGAACCCCTGACCTTGCTTAAACGTGGATCAACCTCTACCGCTGAACCACACGCTTGGGGTTTAGTGAGTTGTTTATAAATTAATAAAATTTGATATAATGTGAAATCCAAAGAAAATAATAAAATACATCTTTAAGATAAACCTATTGTGAATGATATTATCATGTTAACTTATAATGTGACATTTTGACAATTATAAATCACATTAACGATTAATTTGATATATAAATGTAACATAATATATAAAGTCATGATCAAAATATCACATTAGTAATTATCGTGTCATGTCAGTAATTAATTAATAATGTCAAATGACCAACTAACAAGATAACAAAGTGTAAGACATTTTAAAATTTGTGATAAAATATGCAATTTTAAAATTTTAATGATAAAATTCATAAAACTGTAATACATGAGAAAGAAAAAGTAAAATTTAATTTTTATTATTATTATGAATGCTTCTAGGGTAAAAGATTATAATCTATAATAAATACAAATTACAGCGGGAGTTAATGAGCTGCTGCTTTATCTTGTTTTGATCTATTTAAAGAACAGTATTATTTGTGTCTAGTAAAAGGATTCTGTATCTTGTAGCTGGGTGGAGTGTGCAGGTTGAATGTTGCTAATTCGGTAGAGCCTGCTTCTGGCACTCCATTCTGTATGATTACGAGGTTCCTTCTGTTACTATCTGTTTATTTTATTATTTTTCATCGTAACACGCACCACCAAAGTTAATGCAATTTACTATCCGAGTTGTTTCAACATTTATAGTGGTCCACTGAAAACGCTGCCTCACATGACCTTGTCTTTGTACTATTTCTCTTGCTACAAACTAAGCTTTCATTCCTTTGAGTTTGCATGAAAGAGTGAAAGACCAGTAAGTTTTGCAGATACGTGAGAAAAGTTCAAACAACTTTCATGATTATGACATGCCATGGTTTTCGTGGGAGTGAGTAGTTGTATATTATGATTCAACTACTAGCAGTATCATAGTGTAAAAGAAAAGCAAACCATTATTGAGTTTTGTTAATAAAAGTGCTACCATTTTTCTTTTTCAGCTACGGCCTTGTGTGTTGTCTGTATAAAAATACTTCAATGATGATCAAGTAGGTACAAAATAGTAGGTAGGTTGAGATGGATGAGATTTAAGCAAGCATATTATTTTATTCCCTTTCAATGGCATTGTTGTTATAAACTGAAGGGGCATTAAAAACTTGCAACATGCATGTTATTATGAAAGGTGTATATACAAGAAAGATGTAATAAAATTGTTAAATTATGACGACTTTTCCTCCTATAATTGTCTCGTTAAATTTAGTCAGAATTTGCATTTAATTATACAGCTAAAATTGCCTAGTCAACCACGCATATATAATTATAGAGTGTTCAACTAAAATTGTTTTGTCAACAAGGCATTCGTAATTATAGATTTATAGTGTACTATGGAAGATATTGATCACATGCAGCTTATTAAAGTAAAAAAATATTCGAAGAATTTTTTTGCAAATTTATTTGCAAAAAATAATTTAGATATTTCTTACAAATTTTGCTACAATTTTAATAATCATAGAATTTTTTTCTATGATAAAAATTTACAAAAAATATTGTAAGAATTTTATTTTGTTTCTTGCAGATTTTCTTGAAAAAATAAACTCACAAGTATTGTCTTGCAGATTTTCTTGCAAAAATAAATTCGCAAGTAATGTTTACTAAATGGTAAAAAAATTTTGCAAGTAACTTTTCCTGCGAATTTTCCTGCAAATTAATTTTAATCCGCAGGAAAAATAATAAAATAAATATTTAAATTTATAAGTTTAATATTTTAAAAAAATTTCAAGTCTCACATCGAGTGAAAGTAAAACAATTAAAGAGTATATAAGTTGGGGCAACACTTATTTTACAAGTTGATTTATATGGTTGAGTGTTACGCTTATAATCTACAATCTTAGAATTTAAAAGATTATGTATCACATGTTAGAGGCATGGAAACAAATGTTTCGGATGAATTCATTATGAGCATTTGAAAATTAAAAAATTATTGATAAATTTATAGTAATTTATTTAATTTTTTTCGTAAAAAATATTCCTGCAAAATTTCTTGCGAAAAAATCGCAGGAAACTTTCTTACGAATTTTTTTCACAAGAAATTTCGCAGGAAAATTTCCTGCGAATTTTAAAATTCGCAAAAAAATATTATTCACGAAGGTATTACCTGCAGATAAAATTTCACAGAAAAATTTGCAAGAACAACGTTTCCTGCAAATTTTTATGAAAAATTCGCAGAAAAAGTCGCATGTAATAAGAGAAATTCTAGCAAATATAAAAGAAAGAGATCAAAATTAGATATAACTCAAAATAATACTGTTGGGATTCATCCCAAGTCCCACATCGGTAAAATGAAGGAACATTGGCTAGTTTATAAGTGTCCACCATTCCACATAGTTTGAGGCCTTTTGGGAAGGAGCCCAAAAACAAAACCGTGCGGGCTTAAAACCGTGCGGGCTTGGGCCCAAAGCGGATAATATCATACTATGGTGGAGGAACAGGTGGACTAGCGGGCCCTACAAATACCTACCACAAAACACAGGAAAAATATAAGTTGTTCAATATCGTATTTTCCTTAAATAAGTATTAATTAAAAATATTAAATACATTTTTTGACAGAATCGTGGTGGTATGTTGAGGAAAATATTTCTGATATAAGATTTAAAAAGAACGTTATTATTTACAATGAGCCTGAGTCTCAACCAAGGAACATCTCTTTATTTGCGTCTCTTGCTTATCGAAAAGCGATGTTACCCCCATTGAGAAAGAATAGACACTCTAAAATCTACTATAATTATGTTTAAAAATAAATATAAGTTAAG